ATATTGGGACAAGCAGATAATTTCCCTGGCAATAAGCTTTCTTGACATTTTGATAGCAGTGGGGACGGGACAGGCAGGGAGGGTTTGGGGAGCCTAGGGGGAGAAGCTGTCATGTGACCTGAGCGCTTGGTACTGGCAGTTCTGGCCAGTTGCAAAGCATTTTCTTCCCCCTCCTCAGACACAGCTTGGGAACCAGGGACAGCAGAACCCAGACATTCTGGCAAAGTGTTTGAATGGTGCTCTGTCACCTACCCCCAGATGCAGATTGCTACGCTACAGGGAGAAAAGACTCTTTAAAGAGATCATTGTATTTTCATCTCACTGGGATGGTCAGTTCCTCTTGGCCTTCCTGTTTGCTCAGTAGTTGCGAACACCAGGTTCAGGGGGGTCAGGCTCCCATCTGCGTCATTGTCCTGTTTAAATAGGGAGGGGCAGGCACCTTCCTGCTTGCTGTCTCCCATATTCTCTGGCTGTCAGGCCTGAGTGACTTGGATATACCATTTGTCTTTCTGCTTGGTTCGTCTTCCTTCCAACAGTTCCATCTGAGAATTTTGAACCAAATGTCTTGCTGAATTCTCTAAAAAAGCGATTTTTGCCCTTCCTGTGGAGAAACAGGATATCAGAGGCCAGAAAATGGATTTCAATTGAGCAAACGTTGAATGAGTATGCATTTGGTTTCAGATAGAGGGCCGAAGTTCTGGAAATGCAAAAGGAATTAGCACCCCTGAACTTCAGGGGTTCACAGCCTTGAAGGGGGATGACACAAGCTATCCTGTAAAAAGATAGAGAAATGGAAGGGAATCAGCTGGGTTTTGGAAAGATAACTACTCTGGGTTTTAAGGCAGAAAGGAGTTACATGCAGGAGAACCAGGTGGGAAGCAATTTCCTGAACTTCCAGAAAAAGAATTAGAGAGTCGCTGAGGACCTGAACTAGGAGAGGTGGGGAGGTGGGACACAGGGCCTGCTGATTGGCTTCCAGGTTGTGAAGAGACTCTGCAACCCTTGGGCTTCTACCTTCAGCAGGTGGGTGCATGCTGTCTCCTTTCTGGGGTTTTTCTAAGATGATCAGATAATCAGCTTCTGACTCTCTGGGCTCAAGCAATCACATCTTTGCTCTAAAAAAAAAAAAAAAAAAAGGATCCCTCCAGTTCTCCTTGCTGGAAGAATTAACTCTTGGTTGACCGTCTTAGGAGTCTGTCACTTTTGAATGACATCTGATCAGGGGTGTTCCGGCTGAATTTAATCTGGCTTCTGTCTTTGTGCTGAACTCTTGCTCCAACACCAAATACAGCGCATAAAAACCAAGCTCTTTACACGTGGCTTTCCCTCCTTTCTAATGATGTATTGTATTCTGCTGGGATCTGGTGACATTTATCCATATTTTATCAAGTAAGATCATTTTAGGATTTTTACTATTATTATTTTGTCTTCAAGGGTCTTTTGAAGGTACCCCATGGTTTCATTATTACCATTTGTAGAGAAATATACCAGGAGAGGTGACTCCCCTATAAATTCAGAGAAATGTTGCTTTGAGATATAGTTCTTCCAAAATGTAATGGGGAATAAGAGAAATATAGTCCTATCTAAGGGAGATATTTTATATATATATATATATATATATATATATATATATATATATATATATAAACTGTCCAAGTTCAGGACCTAGAGGCAGGAGGTCAGGCTCCTTATCCCAGTCCTAAGACCTTCTTACCAGGTGACTTGGAAAATCATTAACTTCTTGCACCTCCTTATATTTTATATATAACATATCTCCCTTAGATAGGACTAACCTTTGATTGAGAACTGAGAGGAGGTAAAGTAAGGTTCCTGAGGCCAAAGTACAGTGGCGTATGCCCATGATCCCCAGCCTCAGGAGGCTGAGGCAGAAGGATTACAAGTTTGAGGCCAGCCTCAGCAACAGAGTGAGGCCCTAAGCAACTTAGCAAGACCCTGTCTCAAAATTTTAAAAAATAAAATAAAATGGGCTGGGTAGGTGGCTCAGTAGTAAAGCACCCAGCCCTGGCTTCAATCCCCAGTACCCCTGCCCCCCAAAAAATCCTCACAGTAAACCCATGAGATTGGCACTACCTATGACCAAGACATAAAAAAGAGGTATGATTAGCCCAAGAAACACAGTCAGAATCCCCAAACCAGGAATCCATTTATTCTATAGGCATGAAAAGAATTGGCCATTTTCAGAACCCTCTATTAGATCAATAATGATTTGATGAATCGGTAATGGAATTGAGCCCAGCTAAGACATCGAGTCACAACTAAGACAGCTTAGCCTTCTAGACTCCAGTTCTATTTCCATTTCTGACACCAAAGTGTGACCTCAGGCAAATGATGAACTGGCTCCCCAGACCTGTGTCTTCACCTGTGAAGTAGAAATGTCGGGCCCTGTGGTCTCTAAGGTCTCCACAGCTGTCACCTGTTGTGCTGGAGAGTGGCTGGGTACAGACATGGGCTCTCTAAAGCTTGCACAGAGGTTAAACTGCTCCCACTCCTGCTCAGCCAGGGCTGAGGATGTCTGTCAGCATATGGACAGGTGTCAGGATGGTGCTGGGCCCCTGACATCAACAGCTCTAAACCCTAATCTCTGTAGGCAGGGGGAAAACTGGAGGGAAGTCATAGGTCAGGGGAACTCACCCACCGTGCCCAGCGTAGCACAGAGTAGGGGGCTCTAAAGCTCCCCCAGGACTGACTCTCCATGTCCTGTTGAAACCTGAGCATGCTGCTCACCAGGTGGAGGGAAGGATAGGGATAGGAAACAGCATCTAGACCCAATGCTCACAAGGGGTTTCTATCTGCCTCTAATCAAGCACAGTCTGGTGTTCTCCTTGGTGCCTCAGGGTGTTCCATGGAGTTGGAAATGACCCAACTCTACTGTGAGTCTCCTGCTGATTATGCTCATTAGTTCTGTGGGACTCTGCCTTTCCGCTGTCTTCTGTTTCTCTTCTGTAATCCTACAGCGATCAACTGGCCCCAGCTCTATTACTCCTGATTTCATCTGGGGACTTCTTTTAGCCATTCCCAGAGGTTGAATGGACCCAGGAGAAAGGGACTGAGACCAAGTAAGTGGTCAGCTCCCTCCTGGCTCTGTCATCACAGCCTAACTGGTGGAGTCACTTCCCCGAGATCGTTTGGTACAAAGGATCAACTTCTTGTCCTCTGTAACCTGATGACTTTTCTTTTTCATTATAAAACGCCCTAAAGATGAAAAGAGAGAGAAAAAAGGGGAGATTTTATAATTATGACACATTCTTGGATGGTTCCACAAACTTGGATAGAATATGACCTGATTTTATCTTTTTGTATATGAACTTCTCATTGTTAGAAGGAACCCAGGGTTTCCTGGAATATATACCAAGTACAACTTTCATCTGAAACACAGACTCTTCGGTTTCCCTTGAAATTCCCTTAAAACTCATCTGTCTAGATCACAGGATTCCTGGCTCTCGAAAAGCATAAGGATTTCAGTCCTCTCCTTGAAGACCACCACAGAGCCTCCTGGGGACTGACATCTGTGGCTTTATCTCCCTTCCTTAAGTAGTTGTGCTGGCTAAAAGGAGCTTGGCTGACGGTAGTAGCATTGGATCCCTTCCAACCACTGACCAGACAGGTCCCTCAAATCCAGGGCCGCTCCACGGCAAAGAAGCCCGTATGCAAGACCTGAGCTTACAGGCACAGTACCGGGAAGACGATTAACGTACGTCTGTTTTAAAGAAATGAAAATCCCAAAGCTGAAGGATCAAGTCCACATTTTTAGAAAAGGGGACAAAAGTACAAAACACAGCCCCAAATTCCACAAATACATTGTGAAAGCCAGTTGCAAGAATGCCCCAGCCCATCAGCAGTCCTTTCTTCCATAAAGGATCCCCACCACAGTGACATTAAGTGCATCCAAACAATTTAACGAAGCACTAGGGATCACTTTTAATTTTCTGAGTGCCTGCGATGAATTTACAATGTTCCCCAACTTCTCCGCGCGCCTGGAAGGGGACAGGCACGCAGTCACGGCTGCCAGCGTGCTGGGAAACGTGACTAACGCCAAGGAATGAGATCGTCAGAGCCTTTGAAAGGCTTCCAGGAATGTCAGCTCACGCTGCCTGCCCACTGCCTGCCCACCGCCTGCTTTGGCTGGCTGCTTAGCCCTGGGCGAGCCAGACGGGCCTTCATACAAAGACCCACGAAAGAGGAAGGCATAGCTCTCAGATGTGAAGGGCGAGATCCAAGAAGTAGGCGATAAAGTGGCAAGACAAGGAATTCAGGAGAGGTATGAGCAGAAGATCGAATGATCTTGGCTTCTGCCTACGTGTGAATAAATTCCTTGTCGCTCCGGCTGTCAAAGCCAGAGATAGAGACTACTGCTGCACATCCCTCTGTGCTTCATTATCCTGGCACGTCTCTCTGTCCTGCCTGCAGAGTCTCCCCATATCCAAGTCCTCTCGAGCGTCTCAGGGGATGATCTTTTGGAGCCTTGTCAAGGCACTTATGAAAGTACTTCTCTTTACATTGCAACACTGAATATAGATGCCATGCTGTGTGTAGTGTGTGTTATGTAGGATTTTCTTTGACAAAATTGAGAGATGTCCATTGTGGTCCATCTAGGAGTAGGTTTTCTCCGACCCCCCCCCCCCCCCCCCGCCCTTGAGCTTATTTTAGAAAGGAAGAAGACCATTTTGCTTAGAGAACCATTCTCTGACTCTTCGACAGGGCTACTCATAATTCCTTGGCACAACATCTACAAGTAGAGGAAAGATCTCTCCCGGTGTCTCGAGCTTTTCGGAGGAGGTAGTCTGATGTCATTGGTGGCAGACACAGTGTGTGTATCTGTCTTATGTCTGCCCATCTGTTTTTCTCTTTACAGGCTCTTGTTCAGATTTCTTCTTCTCTTTTTCCAGGAAGTGTGCGTCTCCCTGAGAGCATGGGCTGTCGGTATAAAAGAGACGGATTGAACACACTAAAGTGATTTCCCTTTTTTTTTTTCTTCCTAGAATCTCATGGCAAGGGCCTTATATGACAATGTCCCAGAGTGTGCTGAGGAGCTGGCCTTTCGCAAGGGGGACATCCTAACTGTCATAGAGCAGAATACCGGGGGACTGGAAGGATGGTGGCTGTGCTCCCTACACGGACGGCAAGGCATCGTCCCTGGCAACCGGGTGAAGCTTCTGATCGGTCCTGTGCAGGACGCCCCGCCCAGTCACGACCAGCCCATGTCTGGACCTACGCACCAGAGCTTTGCCCAACAGAAACTCTACCAGGTGCCCAATTCACAGGCGGCATCTCGGGACACTATCTACCAGGTGCCACCTTCCCACCAGAACCAGGGAATTTACCAAGTACCCACGGGGCATGGCACCCAAGAACAAGATGTATATCAAGTACCACCTTCAGGACAGAGAAGCATCGGGAGCACCAACGGCCCCCACTTAAGTAAAAAGGTAAGTGACTAACTAGAATTTTGTCCCTACTCACTTTCTTTTCCCATTGCATCTGGGGCAACAGAAATGTTCCAAAAATAATAAGTGAAAACTACCCAAGAGTCAATATGCCCCAACTCAGACATCCTTGATTTATTTTATTTTTGCCTCATTTCACCATTCATCCGTCAACAGAATTTTCTTCAACTATCATGGGCCAAATGGTCTTGGTCCACAGCCATTCTAAGTTCCTGGGTCGTCCTGGATCACAGAATTGTTTTTCTCCATCTTTCCGATAGAACTGCTTCTGGATCCTGGATTCTCTGCTCAAATAGTCTCCCATTTTATCTTTTCTTCCTTGAGGGACACAAAGCACCAAATCTTGTGATCCAGTAGTGATCCTTCCTTGACCAAAAGCTAGATCATAAGCCCACTGGCTTGACTGGACAGAGAACCCACCAGGGAAGTAGAAACAGAGAAAAAGCCAGGAGTAGATCACAGCACTAACTTATTCTTTAGGGACTAAAGCTGGACTCATTTAAAATACACAGGTACTAGTGGATTTGGAAAGAAGCCATCCCTACATCCTTGAAGTTATTCCTGTTAATAATGCCAGGGAGTAAAAAGAGTGGAGCTTAGATATTTAGGAAGACATCAAGTTTAAAAAAAGAAAAGAAAGGGATGATACATTAATCAGCATGCCATCACTATAACTAAATATCAGAGGCAGCTAACTTTATAAAGAGAAAACATTTATTGAGCTTGCAGTTTGGGAGGATCAAGGGCATGACACTGGCATTGGCTGAGATCTGGTGAGGGCCCTCTCAGCGACAGCCACATCATGGCTCAAGAAGCTATGTGTGGAAGAGTTTATGTCACCAAACAGGAAGCTAAAGAGAGAGAGAGACTGGGGTCCCACAGTCCTTCAGAGGACACACCTCCAAAGGCTGAGGACCTCCTGGTAGGCCCCTCCCAAGGTTTCCATCACTTCACACACTAGAAATCAAGCCTTTAATCACAGTAGACCCTTGGGGGACACTCAGACCACACCCAAACCATAGCAGGTGGAGAGCTTTTCGTCACCCTTATAATCTGGAATACTACAACAATTTTCAATAAATAGAAATGTGTTAACTGAAGACGAATGGTGAACATTTGGTATATTTTTGATGCTTGTGATGAACCAAGGGGTGAAGAAGGCTTCGTGGTGTCTACACTGTAGTGAGGGACACAGTAAAACACAATAATGCAGGGTGGGTACATGTGCTATGAAGATGAATGTCAGTGGGCTTTTGGTGACAACAGCCCAAACCAGGCTGATGCGTTGGTGTGCGTTACAAGGGACGGAGCTTCCCTTCCATTAACTTGCAAATTCCAGTGGGTTCTTTGAGGTTTGGTATAAAGAATGGACTGATTTAATAGGACAAGAAAATATCTCCAAATTACAAGAGGGATAATGAAGTTAGGTGGCAGAACGAGCCGATTGGCTCTTAGAAAACTAAATACAGATGTTATAGATGGGCCCTCCCTCAAACAAATCTAGTACAAAGGCTGAACTTCCAAACCCATGTAAATTAGGGAATATCTACTTGCATGGCTCTAGAAACTTTAGTTGAAAAAAATGGGGGAGGGGAGATTTATTGTTGAATTCCTTTATTATTTTTCATCCATATAACATTCTTTTAATTAGAGGATAGAGTTGTATATAATAATTGGGTTCATTTTGACAGAATCATACATGCATGGGTTTTTATTTATTCCCTATCAATCCCCAGTTCCCTCCTTACCCGCCCCTCCACCCTCTCCCTATTCTCTACTGATCTTCCTTTCCTTTGCTCATTTACTTATTTTTGATTGGTGCTTTACACATCAAGGTGGAATTCACAGTGGTGTATTTATACAGGCACATAGCATGATTGTGTTAAATTCATTCTGCACCTCGGCTAAATAACAAGACCACTGACGCATTTTCTAAGCACTTTTTTGATACAAAAAAGTATGCTCTAACAAAACACTTCTCAAGCGCATGTGATCCGAGTGTGCGTCTAGGAGGAGGAATTCTTGAAGAAGCCAGGAACAGCCTTCCGACTTAGCATTCCCCAGGACATCAATCTCTGGCGGGGGCGATAGTTGAAGTCTTGACCTTTCAAAGTCCTTCTTGCCCCGGCGATTTTGGATGCAAAGGGAAAGCCAGACCTGCTTGCTCTCCCTCTCCCCCCACCCCTCTTTCTCTGGGGGAAAAAGAACAGTTGAAAGGTGTGACTATAAATAAATAGCTTTTCTTAGTCTTGGTTGCTTGCACCTTAAAAATAGCAAGCGTGAGCTGGTGCAGGGCAGATGGGGGGTGGCCGGGACAGGAAGTGCTGGGCTGAAAGGTGGAGGGTCCTAGCTTTCATCACAGTTTATCTTGGCAGGAAGGTGACGTGTTTTCCTTTTCAGACTCAACCTTTTGAGTTCCAAGTCGGAGTAGTCCGACACCTCCAACTTCTTGTTGTGCACGCTGTGACTGTGCATGATTTTCTCCAGGGCGCTAGTCCTCTCTGAGGCCAAAGGCTGTGACTCACGTTCCCTTGGGTGGATGTCCAGGGGCCACAGGACTGGGGTGGCTCTCAGGCAGTCCCTCCCTGTGCTGTTCTGTTCTGTTAATTCTACATTCTGTGGAACATTCTGTGTTTAGCCAAAGGAAAGGGGGAGTCTGTAGGAGCAGTTCAACTTGTGAAAGGGACCTCTGCCAGCCCTCCAGGGACAGGCAGAGCTGTCCTGGGGAGTACCCGCAGCAGTAGCCCAGGGCCCTTGGGCTCTGGAGTAAAATGGTGGCCAGAACAGGAAGAGTAGGAGGGAAGGGCCTAGCTTCATGCACCCTCTGTGATACCCTGACCTCCCCTTGAAGCAGCTCAGTGCCTTTGGGTCTTTAGGACACATGACCTAGCGCACTGTCCCAGAGATCAAGGCTCACAGGACCCAGGGGTGAACTGACCTCTCCTTCCTTCCTTCCCACCCCCACTCCACCTCCTTCTTTCTTCTTCTTTCTCCTCCCCCCTCCTACTCCATCCTCCTTCCTACTCCTCCCTCCCTCCTTCCCTCTCTCCCGCCCTACTCACTCTTCCTCCCTCCTCCCTTCCTCCCTTCCTTCTTTCCTTTCCTAGAGGAGAACCTTTAGCAGCTTTTCCAGGTAAAAGTGACTATCTTGACTTCTGCCAGCATCTTCCTTGCCATGTAGCTTCTCAGTGGGTGGCTGCACTTAAGGCCCCAAGGGGTCATCTCCTTGCCTGAGATCAGGCCTGGTCTTTTCTTTCTGGCTTGGCTTGGTGTGAGTTCTCATTTCAGCAGTTTTACTGACTCTCTAGTAAAGCAATTTGCTTGTTTTCCCTTTTAACCTTTACTTTGCTCACAGGCTCATTTTTTTTTTCTTTCTAGTTTTGCATCTGGGACATGGTAATAAACCTAGAACTAGACGTTCCTGATGGCTTAAGCTATGCTCCCTAAGAGTCATTCAGCAAGAAGATGAGAACACAGTGGAATCTTCTTGTTATTGTTTGTTTGTTTGTTTTCCTTTGTGCTAGGGATTGAAACCAGGGGCACTTTGCCACTGAGCTACATCCCCAGTCCTTTTTATTTTTTATTTTGAAGCCAGGGTTTCACTAAGTTACTCAGGGCCTTGCTGAGTTGCTGAGGCTGGCTTTGAACTTGTGATCCTCCTGCCTCAGTCTCCCTAGTCACGGGGATCTCAGGTGTGTGCCACCCCCCCCCAGTTGGCATATGGTTTTGAATCACACAAACATCACTTTAAAACTTTAGTGAACAGAGACTCACCCAGGGAGGTGGGGGAGGGGAGTTAAAGTGCAGATTCCCAGGCCCTTTCTCTCAGAGAGCATCATGCAGTGGGTCTAGGTGGGGGCCCTGGAATCTGCACTTGACTGAGCTCCTTGCATAGTTCTGGGGTGGGGTGGGCCAGGACTACACTTTGAGAAACACTATAAAGGGAGGATGCAGGGGCTTGGATAGGTCCCAACATGATTGAGTTTTTGGGACTTTCCATAGTTCAAAATTCCCTCAATGTCACCATAAACTGTGGGCTTCAGAAGTTTTGCCCACCACAGTTTTTACTACCAATGAATCACTGAATTAAAAAAAAAAAAAAAAAAAAGACAGTGAATCCTGCCTCTTCTCCCTTCTCTGTCTGTGGGAAACCCCGGGCTCTACCCACCCTCCTGCATCCCAACCCCATTCACTGACATTCATCACTCATTAAATCAGCATTGAGGCTGAGAGAGGAAGTCCTGTCATCCCACCTTTCATGAGACACAGGGAGCATGAGTGTTGAGGAGGAGCGTGGGTTTCAGGGTGAATCCCCACTCCTGGTTGTGTTTCTTCTTGGCTGTGTATCCCTTGACAGGTCACAGACCTTCCCTCAGTGTTGGTTCCTTTATCTGTAAAATGGGCATAATTGTGTTTATCTCAAGGGGCTGTTGTGAGAAGTGGATGGAATGATACCCAGAAATCCCCAGGCACAGTGCTGAGCATAGCAGGGGTCTAAAAATGAGTCCCCCTCATTGTGTTTCTTTCTTTTCCCAGAGTTTTTCTTGAACTATGTCAATCTGTGTTTCTTTGCATGTACTGAACATACACATAGTTGCTAGCATGTGTATCGTGTCCTTTGAGCATGTAGTTGTGCAAGCATTCTGTGGAGGGGGAGTGGTAAAAAAACTCCCAAAGGTATCCGAAAACCATATACACTGACGCCTTTACTTAATTTCATTGGTCTTTTTCACCCTGGGTTTTGTGAGCAGGGCTGTTTTATCCATTAGACCTTGTGGGCAGAGTGCCCAGGACCTACAAGGATGTTTAAGAACTGATTTAAACAAAATAAAAAGACTAATAATAATAATGAGTAAATAAAATGAAGTTTTGTCTCCAAAAATATGAAATGCAAGAACTACAAAGTAGAAATTAGTAAACATTTAGACAAACGTCCAGGAAACAGCATCATGTCAGCCTCGTTAGTTGTTATATTTAGGGTT